CAAGAAGGAAATTTGACCGCTTTCTAAAATGTTTCATCAGCGATCACTGTCTAATTATCAGCAATAATTTACCTCGATTAAATTCTTGCATCTAGAAGTTTACATCAGTATTACCTGAACGATCTCAACTAATTTACTAATTTATTGTATTTCATCCATTGCGGAAGACTATATTTACATAATCACGTTTTGTATTCCTTATTTTAAATAGCTATTACTGTGCCGTCTGGGCTGCATCACAAATCTGCAAATTTACGTTGACTTTCTTGGACTGCATTGTATGAAATATTATGTTTTCCTTTTGTTTTTAGTCTAAAAATAATAATTTTTGCAAAAAAGACACTTGGAAAAGGTAATAATTTTACTTTTCAAGTGGAAGTAACTCAACTGTGTCAGAAGCTTATTATATGCGACATGTATTCTATAATCAATTTATTCTTTGAAGACAAAGTCGTTAGAACCAAAAAATTATAGGAAATTGAGATCCAAATTGTAGACTGAATCTTTAAAAACGAAGTCGTTTGCTTTGCGCTGTATTTACAGACTTCAGTATTTTTCATGAAATTTTCGGAAGCGAGAGATTTATTATTTGTTCATTTTATACATCAAGTTTAAAGTAGAAGTAAGGTAAGTTATGGAAGTGAGAGGCTTACAAAGTCAGTTCATGCTTGAAATACACTAACTGTGATTTTTGGGCTTTAATTCTCATAAAATATATATTTATTGCTAGCTGAAGATTTGTTTTTCATAAAGAAATAAGAAAAATAATGAATAATTCTAAAAATAGAGCACTTTAAATTATTCTTTCACAAATGAAGCAAGCAATAAAAGTGATAGTGAATAGGTCTGGATTAATTACTTCACAGCTCGTCAACACACTTACTTTTATTTATTTTCTCTCAAAATGTCATTTTATTTCTATCATCTATTCATTTGTTAGCTCAAGAAATGCTCGTCTTTTGTTGAAAAAGTCAGGAAATAACTAAAATCACTCTTAATATTGATAACATAATTTTGAATTTTCAAAAATTGTTGTTTACTAACAAACTAATAAAAAGTATCGTATTAGTTCTGTTTATTTTAATTTTTTAAGCTTTTTCTCAATGTGACTGATCGAAAGTTATTGCAGTGTCTTTTTGTCTATTCTATCGAACTTGAAAATTTTGTTATTCGCCCCATAAGACTGTATGAATCACTGAAAATTTCAGAAATGTTTACAAAAGGAAAGTAAACAATTAAGAAAAAATATTGACAGCCTAAACTGTCGGACAAAAATGGTATAAAAAATGAGCTATATGCCTTTTTGTCAATTATTACGCCGGAAAAAGAAATTATGAAAATATCAATTGTATTACTTTCAGTATAAGCTTGATATACTTATAGTGATTTGTTTTTCATACTTATAAGTATAAAAAAAGCTTTCAGAAAGAAACCGTTGTATCGGTGAGCATTAAAAAAATATTTAAGGTATAAAAAACAAATCACTATAAGTATGTCAAGTGTATTTCAAAGTTAAGTATCTTATAATTATTTGAGTAGATTCACTTTGAAAATTTGAAAAAAAGAATTTTAATAACTCACTAAAATCTGTGTAAAATTACTCATTAATATTTTTCAGTTTTCATTACAGTAGTGATTAATTAATGCAACTATAATCCGAAAGACTGGAATGAACGACAATTTTATGCTACGTCTATCATATAGTGAAACAAACGCAAAACGTTCAACAATAGTAATGAATAAAAACAAGACATTTCTCTTAGTTAAAATGGCACTATAAAATTTTTGGTTAGACATCAGTGATAAAGTGAACTACAATTGATGATAATTACTGAAGTAGAAATAACTTTTATTGCTATTTTCTTGCATTCACAATTTGCACTTACTAATGTTTATCATCAGCTAAAGTATCATTTTTTGCTTTTTTTTTTTGATTTATAAATGCAAAAAATGGATCAATCTTAGCACACACAGATTATTTACATCTGGAATAATTTCAGTGTATAAAATTTAAGATTACTACGGTATATATTTGTTCAAGGAATGTTAGCTATGAATTACTAAACCAAAAATCTGGTCTTCTCTTTCAAACACTGCTCCTTTTATTTCCAGTTTTTTAATAGTTATTATTAAGAGAATTGAGGTAACACTGATACTGCAATTAGTTAGGAAAGGAAAGCAATTTTATTTTTGGAATCATTCATGCGTTTCATCTAATTGTCAGAAGGTTGGTCAAAAAATTGCAAATCTGAAATTATCATACTTGAAGCGAAAAAACATTTGATCACTACAAATTTGAGACTGCAGAAGTTGAAAAGAATAGAGTGAGACAAATATTTTTCTTCTGACTATCCGTAAAACATTTTTGCAACCAAAAATTGCTGTTGTAAGCAATATATTATTGATTTTGGTTAATTTTTAGTCGTCTGTGAATTTTCAAATTTTATCTGATAAGTGTGCTTTGATCTGGACTTCACTCTCTAAAAAAGCCTTCATTAGACTCAGAAGTTTGAAATGCCACATTCAAAACGCAAGCAAAACATAATGGTGAATGAATAAGTGCTTTTCACTTTCATAGAAATTTGATGTGTAGCAACCGAAAAATTTATACAATCAATTTCAGTGCTCTAATTTTAAACATATTTCCCAACTTTGTCATAATGAATAATATAATTATAGTTGATCATGCAGATAATAATTTAAAGCGGTAAAATTAAATTCTCAGGATTATTAATGAATTTAGATGAAAATTATGCAATGCAAGCTATCGAGAACGATCTACACGCAATTCACTGAAATAACTTTGACTTTTTCAAAATTCTGTTTTTGAACACAAAATTTGAACGTTTTCATTCCATGACATGAAGCACCAAATCCACCAGTTTTATTAGCTGCAATAACAGCTCCTATGAAATATGGATATTTTTTGGCAATAAGGCGAATCGTCATTTCGGTAGCTTTACTAGGTGAATTTCCTTCACGCATATATTGCACTGCTTGGAAACTGAAGTATTTACGATAATAATTAATCGCAGTACTGAAACTTTAAAGAAGGTAAAAATTAGATAACGAGTGATTGATAATGTATTTGCTCACATAACTGCTATTTAAAATCAAGCGGGGCTCGTTTCTGAGCAAAAGACATATCGCCTAGTAGTCGTCAGTTTTAATAATTGCTGCAGTCATGTCAATAAACTATTGAAGTTATGTAAAAATAGGATAAAATATGGATGATATATGGGTTAATTAATTATCAACAACTTAATACCTGGAAAGGAATCTCATCATGATATCACCATCACCGGTACTTGCAGCACCACCAACATCATTATCAACATATGCACCAGCACCAGGAAGCGGAGAATCTCCAATTCTTCTACAATGAAATGGAATATTTGTAACCCACTATATGTTATTTATTTTAAAAGATTCAAATTGCTATTCTTGCTAATAATGCAATCCTTCAGCACCTTAATTAAATTTTAAGAATGTGCAAAATCTTAAAACTATCATTAAAAGTTATATTTTTCATCTATCAACATCTAATAATGGTGGTACACCTGTATTATCAGATATCGAATTTTAAATTTATTTTAATTATGAAAGAATTATTGACTGAATTATGTCTCAAAACTATCAAAATACTTTTATTTAAAGTTAAAAACCTAAAGAAACTTTATATTTGCAAGCAAATACCCAGGAACTTTATGATTAGCTCCATTGGTTGACGTACCAACAGCTATATTACTTTTGAAATCAATAACAATCAAACCAATCGTGTCATGACCGTGATCACTCGACTACAAATCACCATATTGATTGACAACAAAATTAATTATCAAAATTAATTCTGACGAATCCCAGAATTATGACTAATTTTTTTAAAAGTCGACTGCAAATAAAATTTACTAGCAAAACTTTTACATTCAGAACACATTTAAAACAAATAAGTTTGAATACAAGTTTGAAAGTTTGAACAGCAAGATTTTATGCAAGGAATCGGAAGGCTTGTAAAAAAGTTATGCATATATTTTAAAAACAATAGTAAGAACAAATAAAAGATTAATATGATATCTTCAAGTTTTTAGTTTCGAAAATTCTAACGTAAAGTCACTCAACATTATTATTTTATGTCAGCAAGAAACTATACAATTTTATTAGCTAATGATGTGAACCATAAAAAAACCAGCACACTTACTTGGAATGTATGGTTTGATAGGTCATCTACTTTAGCTGGCTTGTATGGTCCACAAGACTGACGTGCATCTGGTCGTACATTCTGAAGTAAACCAAAAAACATATAAAATTATCTTGGACTTTTCAGAATTTGGTTCAATCTTTTGATATAATTCGTAGTAATATAAATAAAACGAACACGACGATAATTTGGTTGACAGTTTTGTGCAATCCACTTTTTATGAACTGCGTGAGAATAGTTTGAAATAAGTGGTTCACGTTTGAAACCCATTGCGAAAGCGAAACTGGCGGCTAAATGAAAGTTGGCTAGTAATTATGATATTCAATATCATCACTATTATCGGTAATGAGCAGTCAATCTACAATTCTAAGTTTTTCGGAAAGGTCATGATATAGGTTACGTAGGATATAAAATTTGATTCTCATATCATAGTCAGTAAGAAAGCTAACAAAAAAAACAAGTAATTAAATCTATATCCGGTCATGTATACTTCAGAATAACTAAAACAATTATTTTTGCTGAAAGTAAAAAATTAAAAGTAAAATGTTTCCTTCTACTTATATTTCCTGATCAAATCTCAAGATTAGAATCCTTGACTTAGAGTCCAAAAATAAATCTAAGCATGAATGGAAGAAAATACAGAACTTTGATGATTTAGTTACAAAAGTTATCGTATGTAGATTTTGTTATCAAAATATTTAGTTTTGTAACACAACAAAGAATTCACAGATCAGGAAGAATTTGTTTGCGATTGAAATCAATCATTTAACTCATGATAAACATATTCAAAAAAGAAAATTACTTAATATCATGCATAGAAGCTGAAAAAAAAGTGTACCATGATCACCAACTAGTATTGAATGTTTTGTATATTTCATGACAGCATAAGCAACACGTGCAGCATTTCTAACATTTGGTAGAGAACCAACAGCTCCCATTTTATGGTGCGGACTGAAACAGCAATTGTATTAAGTAATTTTTATTTTTTCAAGCTATTTTACTCGTTATTAAATTGCATCAATCCTTTTTTATAAACTAATGGTAATGACTAGGTTTTAAATTGAAATTTTAAATTCTATGACAAGCTTTTTTCTGTTCACTTCATTGGGTCCAAAGCAACCATATATGCTTCATATTCGGTGATTCATTTTTGAACCACATAGTCAAACTCTCAAATGTATATCAAATTCAACAATTTAATAATCATGTAAAGTGAATTTCATTACTATTTGAGCAAAATATTCCTAATGCTACGACAACTAATGGATAAATATTTTAGATCATATACTTCATTATAAAGTTGGTTTTTGATATTTTTCAAAGGTGTAAAAACTTTAAAATCACATAAATAATGCATTTCACTGATGACTGAAAATTAATATAATAAACATGGGTCTAATATAAAAAAGAATAAATATGCTGTAGGAATGAATATCAGAAAAACGGATCTCAGCAAATTATAACACAAGTCAAATAACACCAGACCCACTGGATTCTGGTCATCATTATTTTGTACACAAGAATATTCGACTTGACAGATAAATTTTGTCTTATAATTATATTACATATCAATAATAATCATCTTATCACTTCCATCTAAACTACGTAGGTGTAAATGCTCAGAATTAAGTTTAAAAAAGTTTGAGTACCCATCGAACACGAGAGCATCTAGTCGAGTTTCTCCTAACTCATCTGGAGAACCACCAAATCCAACTGTGTAATCACACTGTAAACGTTCACATTCAGTTAAGCCAGCCAGTAATGACTCCATCCGATCATGTGTTTTTATCAAAGTTGAAAATGCTGAAAATGAAAAATAAAAAAAGCAATAATTGTAACATCACTCCATGAATTTATGAAAACTTTGATATCATCGAGAAAAAACAGTTGCAAAAATATGCATAAAAAGATTATTTAATGATATTTTAGAAATTTAATCATATACAAAACATTCAAGAAAGAAAAAGCATAAACAAAACAATTATTAACAACGAAATACTGAACAACTGAACAAGCAAACAAATGACAAAATAATTAAACACAGTGGACAAGTAAGTACTTTAAGTAAAAGTATTATAACAATGCTAATATCGAATATAAGAAGAATCTTGAAACAAAAACCTTTTCCGGTAGCAGCTTGAAAACCATCATTTCCCCATGTAGTTAAAACCATTGGTACTTCGGCCTTGCAAAGTAATAACAGTGAAATGAAATGAAACAAGCTACTGAACCATTTCATTTTTTGTTTTTTCTGAAACTGATAAACTGAGAGATAACTTCAACAAACCATAAGTAATTACTACTCTTTGTCAAAATTAAAAGCTATAATATTTTTCAGCTTTTTGGCTTTGTGAAACTAATTCTATACTCTATGTTTGAATCATTCCGTATGTCATCATATATATGGCAAGCATAAACAAAGTTTTTATGGTAAAATTCAAATTTCAAACTTAATAATTATGATTAACTAAAACTAACAAATAATTGGATCAAAACCTACTGAAGAGAGATCCATCTTAAGTTCATGGTTAGTGAAATTTTTGTAGTAACTTTGCTAAGTTCTAAATGAATTTTACAAATTGGACAAAAAGTACAACTTGGCCAATTTTCCAATTTTATAACTAGTAAATACTGCCCATTACGATCTTTCAATTAATTTTGTCAAAAACTACAGTAAACGTGAAAATTTATATAAATTAATTAAGCAAAATATATAGATCAAGTCCATTTGATTTGAGAAGAAATTTCAACTTTTATTGCTTAAAATGATTTTATGATAAATATACAAGCAGTAACAAACAATTAAGCACTGCACAATGCCTTGAGTAATAATTATATATATATATATACGAAAAGTTAGCAAATGCAGCAAATAATAATTTCCAGAAAGATTCAACAAAAAATGATCACATTCATGCGTCAGAATTTCTTCATCTAATGTGAAGAGAATTCAGCAAATTTTTAAAATACTGAGAACAAACAAATTTCACACTTCAAATTTGAAAAATCCAAAATTTGAACTTTCAAAAAATGTTTGTATTTTGAATACATTCCACAAATACAAAAGAATAAGCAACAAACTACTGCCTCCTCCTAAAAACCAAATATTGTTTCAGATTTGAATGACAAAAACAAAAAACTGATGAAGAAATGTTGTAAACTTTGCCTGCGGATGCTTGCTTGAGAATTTCTCAACTGTAACGTGTACAGTGAAGCCTAAAAAGTTTCAATTTAATATTGCCGTTCATCAAATCTGCAATATTTCCACTGTTTCGTCTCAAAGAACATCTATCATACTTCATGTTTCATCCAATATAATCCATTCAACTGTTTCTTTATTTAGTCATAATACATTTTCTATCACTTCATTGAAATACTCCAGTCATATCACTAACATTTACTAGTCCTCGAAATGAAGCACCACTTTTAAGCTAAGCATCTCAAAACAAGAATATGCTTCAAAAACTAAAGGAATCAAATGTAAGATAACGAACTATACATGAAAAACTAATTATACGTGTCAATAATCCCCTAAATAGCTTCAAATTTCAAAAACACAGCCACTACCACATCAGCATTGAAATTCAGTAACAGTGGAATCACATGTCACGCTGATTGCGAACAAAAATTGAAAATCTCAATAAATCTCAAAAAAACTTCTGCATATATATTTCATACACTGAAATACCATGTTGTCAGCAAAAGCAAAGACAATTTTATACGACAAAAATAAAATTCGCACATGCAATACAACCCAAAACATACTACTACAGTACAAGAACATAAAAAATTACAAAAACTACGATGAATTAGCACAACATCACAGAATCCTGTTTTGCCAGCACACTAAAATACTGTGATTGGAAAACATCATATTATGACTAAACTTTTGTTCAATTCAATATTTTCAGTTTCTGGAAGAATCTTCTAAACCTCTCGGAACACTAAGTCTAAATAGAGTGAAAAGCAACAAAAAACTATCTAATGATTCTATAGTGTTTGAACACACGAATAATACACGAGAACCCACCACATTTCATGTCCTAAAAAACTACAATCATCTTTGGAGTAAAAACTAGCATATTTCAAAAGTTTGAAGTAATTCTGTATAATTTGAAGCAAAGTACAATCCGTACATAACTACGAGATCAGCATTTTCCAAAATAAAAAAGTTAGTAGTAAACTTTGACAAAAAAACATAAGCTAGCATTAAGTAGGAAATGTCATATGATAACAGACTATATTATAAACTATGCACTGATCAGATATAGAACATATGCAATCGTGATATCACTGAATAACTTTGAAAACAGTAAC